AAAAAAACCCAGCGAAACTGACAGTGTGAAGATGACTGCTGTCGTCCAGCACAAAAGATAAAATTGAGGATAATGTTGTGAAGAACTTGGCAACTCCGTGGAGCAACGTGAAAGAGGGGGCACCTCACCACCTCACCACTATAATAATTCGCAATTTGACTTCCACCTCAAAGAAAATACACCAGATCAATGAATGGGAAAAGTGAATGTCCGAAGCGGTCACCAGATGAGGGCTGTGCCTGCAAGCGCCCTCCGATTAAAGGACCGCGACAAAAGTTCGTGCTGGGACTCTCACGGTTCGATCGCCCTCTCGTTCTGCGTTTCACTCGTGACGTCCATCGATACTTCAGAAACGGCGAGTTGCTTAGTGCGATTTCTTCGCTGGGCTTCCACTGAAAGTGCCGATACTACGGGTCATCCATCCAAATCGATCATTACTCAGTGCTCTTTGAAATGGCTGAGGAATATGACGATGATTTCCAGTACAACTCAGATTCGGGAAGTGAACTCGAAGATGAGGCAAGCCATCACTGCTGTTAAATTTTTGTGGCCTCCTCGGTATGAGTCGAATGGCGATCGTCGTTCTTTTTGAGGAAATTCTTTTGGAGTAGAAGTAACTGTTGCAGCGATTGTTTTTTGCATTTTGCATTTTACAAAATTGTGCAATTTTGCATTTATATCTTTCGAAAGTTATTGAAATGCAAACTTTACTATGTAATTTATTTATCCTTGAGAAATGGAGAAGACTATAGGGTCTGCTTCTTGAGGAAAAAATGAAAATTTTCTGCTTGAGATTTTGATTTTACATCGTCAAGCTAGACCTTTTTTCAAACTTTACTAGGGTCTCAAACTACGAATCCGACTTTGCTTTGAAACATTGTACCCATATCATTCAAGGTGTTTGTTCATTATTCGCAAAAAGTATGGGAGGCTGGCTTATGATAGCTTTTGTAGTCAGTTCTACCAAGTTGCATTCCGTTGATATTCCCGATAATGTGCTTTTCGTTATGGAAGAAATTAGCTATGATAACTTTTCCATTCCAACGGTATCTCATTCTGATTCTTTTGCTTCCATGAGTGGTTTAGCAAGTAAAAGCAGTATCGCAGTAACTACGAAATGTCACAATGACAAGTTAGAGTCCGACGAATTCGGTTCCGTAGTTGACAACTCCTTCCAAAATGTTTGTTTATTTGTCAAATTCGCACATTTGCATATTATTTTTCACATTTTAAGGCTGTAAGCGAAGATGATGGAATTGCTATGGAACAAGAGGATACGAGTCGAGAAGT